TCGGCAGCAGAAACAGGTATTTTTCGTAACTTGGCAATTTTTCTAAGATGGAAGAATGCTGTTTTTGTAACATGTGAAATATGATTTTCAAAAGACAAGTTGCTATCTAATATAACTTTTGACTGTATGAGGAACCACCCAAAAAAAGAAGGATCTGCCACCCGCAGTTGATTTTGATATTCTAGGTATTATCAAATTGCCAGGGATTTGAGAATGCAGCGGACGTGGAGGACTATCCCAGTGCAGTGTTGACAGAACAGGGCTAATATGGTCATACTTCCTGGTTCTAGTAAGAAGTCTAGCTGCTGAATTTTGAACCAGCTGGAGTTTGTTTATTAAGCGTGCAGAATGGTATGGTATGGTATGGTATGTTTCACCGGGCCGCGAAGAAATATAGAGCTGAGTATCAACCACGATCAGATGATAAGAGCAGGTTATTTGTAACTCTAATGAGAGCAGTCTCAGTACTATGATACGGTCTATTATTACCTATTATTATATTATTATCTACTATTATTAAGTGTAGATATGTTATATCTCTCTCTCTTTTTTTTGCATTATTTGATATGTTGATATGTTAGCAGTACTTAAGTACTACTGATTGTTATTGTTTTATTTTAGATGTTTGCAGAAAACCAACAATCAACCAAACAAATAAATCAAACTGAAAGGATTCTCTGTTTGTTTGTTTTTATCTAGATTCAGGATACAAGGTTTTGTTTTGTTTTTGTGTTTTGTTTACACAACCTGCATACAAAATGCACAATGCTGTGATATAATTTGGCTGTCGTTTATTTAACTTTTTTTTTTTATCATAATAATAGTCATTTGGAACACATTTGTGAGATTTTATGATATCACATGTTTTATACATGTCCAACATTTTCATGTTTTATTTATTGATTTGTTTTATTTAACATTTTCATTCACCGTTCCTGGCTGGTGGAATGATCTTCCAACCTCTATCCGGAATGCTGATTCCCTGACAATTTTCAAGCGACAGCTGAAAACTCACCTCTTCGTCACTATCTGACTTCATCCTAAAAAAAAAAAATGTCTCTTTTCTTTCATCTTTCTCTGTCTATCTTGTACTTATTTGAACAATGCTTGAAACTTGGTATTACGAGCACTTCCTGTGTCTATTTGCCTCTTTAAGATGAATCGCTTGATATATTCCCCTATTGTAAGTCGATTTGGATAAAAGCATCTACTAAATGAATAAATGTAAATGTAAAACAAACAAACAAAGATTTTCACAGTTCTACAGTAAATTCACATTCAATTTCATAGCTTTTAACAGTCACTGTGTCATTTCATAAATATAAAAGTTAACGAATTTTACAGTTTCACTGACACTGTAGCTTCCCACAAGTAGGCTACAATAAATAAATACATTTAATTCTAACCAATTCTAATTAAATACATTTAATTATAACTTTAATCAATCATAAATTTAGCTTACTAAATGGCATTTCGATAATGAATTTTCATATTTAAGAAAGTATATTAGTCTTGGACAACAATGGGTAAAACGATCGTATGTCCAGCTGTCTGTCTTGTTGAAGTTGTAAAATACATAGATGAATGCATTTAGGACAGTCTAGTGTGGGAGGGGCTAAAGCTGAGGCCCCAGCTGACCGAATGGGAGGTGCTAACACATAGGCTCCGCCCACAGCGCTAGTTTTCAGTACGCAGTAGGACCGTGGAGTGGGAGGGGTTTCGCGCACAGTCCTTCCACACCTCTACAGTTCAGCTGTGCGCACTGCATGAAGAGCACTACACGGTAAGCTGTTTTTCAGTCTGTGGTCACTTGTAACTGTATGTTTCTGACTTCCCGATATACAAAACAGCAAGAGCTGTTGTGATTGTGCGGCTTTCGCTATACTATCCGCTCAAGGTCTGTTGTTTTGACAGGAAAAGTTGCACAACAACGCCTAACGTTAACCAGACAGTAGTTTCAGACCGCTGGAAACGCACTCGTGGAATGTTTCACTGTTTTGCGCGATCAAAAAAGGAAACAAGCACTAAACGACTCAAACCCATCGACAAATGGCAGAATATTTAGAAATAAATAACATACAAGGGAAGGGCCTGGACGTGTGTTGTTGAGAATCACTGATCAGACAGATCTCATGAAGTAAAACAATCCCAGGAATTTGCGCAGGATCGCTTTTGGAGTCCTATCAATCAATCAATCCAGAAGGATTGATTATAATTTGCTCATGGGATCCAACATAGAACAAAAGCTGTATTTGTTATGTGTCCGACTAAGGCCTTTGTAAAACATCAAAACCTTGTTGGATTGCAAACAACAAAACTCCTACAAAATAACACAATTCCTACAGCTTCCTCTGTGTTTAACTTATTGTTCAATAGCAAGATCTCATTGCAAAATAGGCTGTGTAGTTTTCTGATAAACATTACACAATATACAGTAGGAGTTGAATGTGAATTTGTGAATTGCAATTTTGTAATTTTTGTTTATCCACCAGTCTTATTCTTATTTGGATCCTTGTGATCAAACTGTGATCCAATCCTGTCACATTCTAGGCTTGTTTGACTGCTACTCAACCCTATTAGACACACTTCAGAACACAGTCACATTACTCTGGTTCAGATCAAATCATTAGAAATAAATCATTAACCACTCATCATGTATTGTATTGTTGTCTTCAGGTCTTGCCCTGCCTAAATTAAACAATGTGCTCTTAATTAAACGAATCATTATTCATTATATTATATTATATTATATTATATTATATTATATTATATTATATTATAAACAAATTCCTTGCATGTGTAATCATACCTGGCAATAAAGCTCATTCTGATTCTATATCATGTCATATTATATTTATTTAAGGTACAAGAGGCTGTGTTCTATTGTGAATATAGTAGTAAATGTCTAAAAGGTATTAAGTATGATGTGCAAATTCACAATACAGCACAGTCTCGAGTGAATTATTGCTTTTATACAAGGAATGCAACTTAAACTGGATACGGAGGAGTCGTAAAATAAGCAGGTTAAACTCACAGCTCATGTGGTATTTACTGACTGCTCTGAGACTTCAATCATCAGCTGCACACATGAATCCCGCCACAACCATCCTTTGACAAATGATAAGCACACTTGGGTGTACTCACACTAGCAGTTTTGAACCGTGCCTGAGCGCGTTTGACCCCCAAAGCCCGGTTCGTTTGACAAGTGTGAGCCCTCGGGTGTGGTTCGTTTAGCCCAGTGGTTCTCAAACTTTTTACAGCGGCGTACCCCCTCTCTTCCACTTAGACCGCAGTCACACCTTTTCTATTGAAGGACAATATTTGCCCCCTTAAATTGATTTACAGGTGTATTTTTTACCTTTATAAAGGCAAATTTTTTCTATCCTTATTAATTGTATGTCATGTTTTATGCTGCATGAATCATATGAACAATCTGTTGAACCAAGGACAGTAATAATTTAGTATTATAATAACAGTATGCACAAATTATAATCAGTGTTGGGGGTAATATATTACAAGTAACGCAAGTTATGTAATCAGATTACTTTTTTCAAGTAGCTAGTAAAGTAACGCATTACATTTTAATTTACAAGAAAATATCTGAGTTACTTTTTTTTTATTTTTTTTATTGATTGACAGCTCTCCTGCCCCCATGTTGAGAGAAATCAGATGTTACTGTAGTTCAAAATAAATATGAATATGCATTAATTCATCTCACTCACACAAAAAAACACACAGATTCAGTATTCCTCAAAATTAATAAAAATAATGCAACTCAGAATATGACGCAAACCTGCAATAATTAAATGTTAAACAACACATATATGCTTTATGTATTTAATCCCATTCTATTAACCAATGTCTTTGCTTCTGACCTTCGATGATCCAGTTCAACCGTACTAATAAGCACAAATTACTCTAGACAAACATTTGTGT